ACACGCTGCTGCACGTCTGGAGGTTTGCGTAGCCAGTCTTGTCCACCTTGCCAGCTCCAGATTCCAAACGGGCTCTAGATCACATCAAGAATTGGTCCTGCTTCTACGCCAGGTACAGGAACTCTAATTAGTGAAACAAACAAGGGAACTCACCGACGCAAGCAGGCTTGGGTCTCCGTGACAGTAATTCATGATTTTGATGAGGAGCATTGCAGAAACCTTTGTTTTCCCGCCTTCTTCCAGTTCTTGCTCATGGCTGAAGAAACGCAAAAGTAGTTGCTGCAGTCCATGTCGGTAGGGCAGCCAGTCACTCCCGCTGGCATAGCGGTGGCCTTTGCAGGCGTTCAGTTTTGGAGTAGTTGCACGTAGCAAGACAACTCATGCTAGTGTTCTACAGTAACATAAGAGCCAAACTCCCGGGAATGGCATTGATACAATGGTTCCCTTAGACCCAAAGGTGAAACATTACGTTTCAGGGCTCAACAATGTCTCCTAAGACTTGTGCTTCGTGAAGATGACGGATGCAACGCAGACTCAGGAATAGCAAGCAAGAATGACAAGACCAGCTTGTACATGATGATGGCACCAACTACAATATCAATAGTCAACGGGAAATGGGGATCGTCATCTCGTCTATTCAAGATGGTTGTGGCAAACGAGAGTCTGCACATGCTGATTAGCCTGAAGCCGCGGCCCCAAATCCTAAAACTTGGGTATTAGGGTTTAGGGTTTAGGGTTTAGGGTTTAGGGTTTAAGTACCAGTCTATCCCAAAGATATTGCGGTATATGGGTAGATATTCCTTCTGGAACTTTTGTCCAACTCTTTAGAAGTGAGGGCTGTATCCAACCTAAACCCACCGTGGCCTTCGGTGCACCCAGGGACAGGGATTTGGTGACGTCCTTGTTCGGATCCACGAAGACATCCGTCCTGGTTTCTCGTTTAGGATTTGTTAGGGATGAGGGCCAGAAAGGACTACCCAGGGATTAGCGGATTGTCATGATGCTTATAGATGCACCTCTTAGAGTTTACTGGGCTTTTGCCACAGCACTATTAGAAGCGGCTGCTTCTGTTTCAAGAACTTCCTCAACATGCAAAATGCGACTCAACGATTTCAAAGAAACAACGGGCTGACAATGAACCTGGAGTTTAGGGCTTGAGCGGTCAGGGTCCAAATGGCAGGTTTCAGGGTGTTTCATTTCAGGTTTCTGGTAAAGGGTCCGCATGCAAACTACGACATTTCAGAGGCGGCCATATGAAGCACCTGTCCAGCCTCCACTTCTGGGATCAGGAGTGCTGATAGCCTCTACAAGCCATATTCTACCCCAGATGTCCCCATTATGAACCTAGTTACTAAATACCCTGCGCCAAGCAGAAGCACAGTACTGTAGCCATTGGAGAACCCTGAGCACCAGACTGGGCCAATGTCTAAGGCACTTAACTAAGTTACCAGAATATGGAGTCCTTTAACTGGGCTCTAGGAGTTACGTAAAGTTTAGGGTACAATGGAGAAGAAAACGGAAGCTTAAATGGAAACTGGGCTACATATAGAGTGGCAACTTATCATAGATTTGTATTACGGCAACTTGGATTAAGCTCGTTTTACAGCAGCCCAGATTGCTCAAGGCTGATTTAGGAACTTCGTAGGCGATGTGAAGGTGATGTCACCGCCACCGCCACCCATGGCAGCGTCTGTGATTCCCTTGGAGATGTAGAACCTAGGTAGCGTTTGGGGCTTTGGGTTTAGGGTTCAGGGCCTGGCTTTTCAATAGATTTGTCCGATGTCCAGTTTCCACTCAGGTTCTTGGGTTCGGGTTAGCCAAAGCTACATCCTGTAGGATCCCTTTTTACGACTGTGTCCTCTCAACTCCAAAAAACTAAAGCCTTAACCCAGGGAACAGAAGGCCACCCTCTCCAGTGATGGCACCGAGGATGACCTGGGAAAATGCTTTGATCGTTTTAATTGCTAGGCCTGATATCAGGGCAGTTTGGGAATATTGTCTATATAAACCACCACTTAGGGTGGGGTCATGATGATTTGTTCGGACTTTCTTCACAGCTGACAGCCATCATCAACATCATCAACAGTTCCGGGTCGGACTCCTACAGGGGTTTCCCCTTTTGAGCTCTAATTTCTATCAGCTCAACATACCCCCAAGGTGGATGCTACAGGCCCCAAGAAACCCCAAAAGCCACAAGCAACCAGCACACCACGGGTGATTTACTTCTCAAAGCATCTTCAAGCCGAAGCGCCTCCTCCGGCAGCAGGACAGCGACGCTAAGCCTCAGATGAACCGGTAGAAGCACGCCTAGACCTCCCAAAACCATTACTATCCATACGAATGATCATCGTCATGGTTAATCTGCTAGCAATAATGATAACCCTTAACCCCAAACCCTTAACCCTAAACTGATACTCAAAAGACTAGTAGCATGTAAATTTGTTGCTCAAGGGCTGAGGGCGACTAATGTAGGCATTTGGCAGGCCAAGTAGGATTCTATGCAGCTCTACGGCTTGAAGGACAAACTCTCCATGACCCTTTGTGTACTACACTACCATCATGGCGAGCGTTCAGGTACATAACGTCCTGCAGGGTTTTACCCATCAGCGGTATGGCCCTGCAGTGTACACGACATTCAACCACGCGTGAGCCCCAAGCTGCCATTTCAGTTTCAATTTGTTTCTCGCATTAAATATCATTCCGAGTCGCATGTTGAACATGTCATGAACGGTCGCCCCAGAGAAAGCGCGCTCAAGCTCGATGCGCTCGCCGGCATGCGCCATGGACACCTTGTCAGCCCCAACACACACGGCGCCAAACATATGGGCTAACGGACCCATGATTTTGGGAAACCCGCAAACCACATCTCTGAGGCGGCAACAATGGTGTTCGTGACGGATGTTCCGATGTTTGCCTTGGCCGTCAAAATTGGTCGGGTGGAACTCAATAAGCATACTCATAGCCCCTACAAGCCATATTTCCCTGAGCGTCCAAGTAGTAGGGTTTAGAATCTAGTTGGGGGGCCAAAGTAGAACCGTAGTATATACCCTTTTATATTCGTTTCCTTTCCACATTATTTTCCATTAACCCAAAATTGAACCCCAATATAACCCCAATATTACCCCCATGAGGGAAAGAGCTCAAGGCTGGTTCCAGCCTTCAAGCTGCACCGCGCTCCGTGGTGCCCAAGAATAACCGTGTTAGGGAAACGAGGGGGCTCGTAATTTAGGGTTTGGGGTTTAAGGTTTTGGATTGTAACGACAGGTCTAATCGGGTTCTGATTGCCCTAAACCTCCAAGTACAAGAACCTCAAAATCGGCTTCTCCATCCAAAATCCCAGCCGCGCCCATGATAATCGGGATTGCATTGCCGACGCTCACCTGCTACGCGAAGCTTGCGGATTCCCCTGCCACCCCCCTATACTCCCAAGGTTCCCCCTGAATGGGAAAGTAGAACGGGGACCCATGAAATCCATTCCCTCGGATGACACTTGGCACACACACGTTTTCTTGTGACAGGTACTGTCATCCCCTCTCACTACATTAAACTCTCCTGAAGAGACCTTGTAATATTGAGTGATATATTCATTGTTAGGGGTGGGGCGTGTCTTGCGTCAGCATGAGGGGTGTAGGTATTGAATATTGGTAGTATGCGGGGCGTCACTGCCACGCTGATTCGGAGGTGCTGCAGGGCTTGAATTTTGAGAGATGCAGTCATTGGGCTTATGCAACACAATGTGGTTCAGGATCTCGGCTTTGGGGTTTCGGGTTTGGGGGGTCTATGCTTTGGATTTAGGGTTTAGGAAGTTTAGGCCTTCGGGTTCAGGATTGAGG